GCTCCCCGGTGGCCCCACTGGAACCTCCCCTCTTCCGCTTCCCAGAATGCTTCAGCCGATGTTCCAGTCGCTCTGGGGGCTGAAGAGATGCATCCTTCTGTGGAGGAGGAGGTGGGGCTGAGATGGATGGAAAGGGGCAATCTCCCAACTCCGCTAGGAGTGACCAGGCTGCCCAAGTGCCCTTTGGGCCGGGAAACCGGGTCCCTGGAGACGAGCTCTACCACCTCCCACCCCAGGGCGGGGCAGAGGCCTGGCCAGAGGAGCCGGTTGCTCTGGTTTGGGGTGCCAGCATTCCCCCTCAACTCCACCCACTCCGGGCACTGCACCCTCCTCGCTGCCCCTCGGAAACCCCCAAAGTCCCCCATCCCCATTAAGCCCCACCTGCAAGGCCTCGAGGCTGGCGAAGCTGGCGATAGCGAAGCCATCGATCAAGTCCTCCTCCTCCTCTTCCTCCTCCTCAGGCTCCTCCTCGGCTTCCCCGTCGTCTGCGCCCCCCTCCTCCTCCTCCTCCTCTTCCTCCCCGCGGCTGCCCGAGCCCGCAGGCCGCTTCCGAGCTCGAGGTCGCGGGGGTCGAGGTCTGGGACGGGGCCGCCGGCGTCTCGGGCCCCCGGGCCGCTCTCCAGACGAAGCTGACGACCAAGGCCTGGCGGGCGGCGGCGGCGACGACGAGGACGAGGAGCCGCGCGGGGCGGCCAACAGGGCCCGGGGCGCGTCGCCGCCTGGACCTCGGCGGCGCCGCTGCTCCCGGTCTCGGTCTCGGCGCGAGCAACGCCGCCGCCGCCGCTCCCCCTCAGTTGCCCAGCCCGGGCCCGGGGCCGCGGCCGCTGCCGTCTCCATGGCGACCGCCCTCAGCGCTGCATCCGGAGGCGGCGGGGCCCGAAGCGGCCTGTCCGCAGGCCGGGGGTCGCAGGCGCGACGCTGGCGCCTGCACAGGGACGAAAGGGCCACGGCTTCCCCTTTAAAGCCGGATCTGCTGGCCCCAAGCTTGCCCCAAGGCCACGGCCCGGGGAGCCGGCGCCGCCCCCGGGGCGACAAGCCCGAGGGCCCCCCCCTGCGGGCTCGGCGGGGCCGCGACGGCGAAAACGGGGCAGCCGTCCCTTTAAGGCGAGGCCCCAAGTTGTCCAGCCCCTGGCACCTTTAAGACGACCCGACAGTGTCCGGCGGTCTAGTGCGGTGGCCGCCCCCTGCCAGGGGTCGAGGCAAGTCTCCCCGAAGAGGAGGAAGGGCCACCCCTTTAAAAGGGGCCGAAAGCTCGCCCCGAATCGCAGACCTCTCCTTTAAAAGTCTCAAAGTCCTCCGGCTCAAAGAGGCCACCCCTTTAAGGAGTCCAGGGTCCTTCAAACAGCACACCGTCCCTTTAAAGGCTCGGAGTTAGTTTCTAGTCCGCCACAAGAGGCCACTTCCCCTTTAAGCTGTATTTAAAGGACTTCTTGCGTTTGGAGGAGGAGAAGGTAAAGAAAATCCCCACTCGTCCCAGTTCTCCCAACAGCACAGTGCTCTATTTGTCAGCGTCTGTTCGGCGGCTTCCCCTTTAAGGCTGGCGTTCGAGTCCGCCGAGTTCAGTGGCCACCCCTTTAAGGAGATTTAAAGGGACCTCCTCCGGGCCCAGCTCCTCCAGCCTCCGCCTCCGGTTGCCATGAAAGGCGCGAGGAGGGGCGGGGCCGCGGGGGCCAGCCCTCCAAGGCCCCGGATGTGAGGCAACGGTGACGGGTACAGCTTCTCTGTCCGCCGACATAAAAGTCTCTTCCTCCTTTCCTCAGTCTCTGTCCGACTTGGGCCTTAGGGGGTCCAGAACGGCCGATGGGCAGCGGGGAAGCTCGAACGCAAACTCCTGTTGTCTCCGTTGGAGTCTTGGGGGCGCTTCACCGCCAGGACTTCCCTGCCCCTCCTCCCTCTTCCTCCTCAGCCTACGCCTCCTTCCTCTCTCGGCCTCCTCCCACCCTCCACGGGCGCAGTCGGTGATAGGCTGAGAGGGCTACGCCAAGGTGAGGGGCGGAGCCAAGCCCGAGGGAGTGGGTGTATATAACCGCCCTCAAATCTTGGATTGGGTTACGTCAGATTGGCCCCGCCCTTCCTCCCGTCTTGTGACTCGACTGGTTAGAAGTAGGTGTTTGGGGTGGTCCCCGCAGGGCCCCGCCTCTTCCTGCTGTTCGCTTATTGGTCCGTCTCCTGATGGCGTCGAGGGGAGGGGCGGAGACGCGGAGCCAAGGCGTTGGAGGCAGTTGGCCGCCGGGAGGCGCGCGGCTGCGCGAGAGGTACGTTCCTGAGCTAGTTGAGTCGTCGCCGCCTTTCCGCCCTTCAGCGCGGCCCACAGACCGTCTGGTGTCTCGCGCACGCGCGTGGCGCGGTCACCGTCCGTCTGGCGGCTCCCGGGTTGCTCCGCGGCGTGGGGTGGCCGAAGCGGCCGCGTGCTGTTCCAGCGACAGTCGCACGGACTGGCAGCCGCGTCCGGCTACCCTTCCAGGTGCGGCTGCTGGCAGCGGTCCCCGAGCGCTAGCAATTCGAAGATGCCTTGCACTTTTGAACCGAGCGCTTTTCCGCGTTAGTGACTTCGTTTGGTAATAATTCCACGAAGGTGATGCTGCCGACTCCATTTTACGGGGATGGACGGGAATGCGTGCACAGACAGACTGGCGGTCTCCTAGCCATGTCTGTGTTCCAGCCACTGACTGCCCTGTGATGCCTCTGAGTTATGAAAGATGCACCCCAGGGCTCAGTGTGACTGGCTTTAAAAAAAAAAAAAGCCATTTCTGGCCTCCGGTTGCCCGGGTTACCGTTTTAAAAGTGGACAGTGCGATGACATGCCTGCCTTGGTTTCTCATCCATAAAATGACTAATTCTCTGTCTCAGGGACAAGTGCAGGTGAAGTACCTGTGACAGTTGTCCTGAATGCTACATTACACCCCATTACCCTTAGCTCTTTTTTTTTTTACTTTTTTTTTGAGACAGGATCTGGCTCTCTTCCCCAAGCTGCAGTGCAGTGCCTCGATCTCAGCTCACTGCAACCTCTGCCTCTCCGGTTCAAGTGATTTTCCTGCCTCAGCCTTACCAGGAGCCAGGATTACAGGTGTGCATCACCACGCCTGGCTAATTTTTGTATTTTTAATGGAGACGGGGTTTCACTATGTTGGCCAGGCTTATCTCGAACTCCTAGCCTCCTGATTCACCGGCCTCAGTCTCCCAAAGTGTTGGGATTATAGGAATGAGCCACCACACCTGGCCTACATGTAGCTCTTAAATCCAGCAGCAGGTCCTGGCCTGCATGTTAGCAGGAATTCAGGGCCATCTTGATTTTCAAGGGCGTGGCCCACTATAGACCTTCCAGTCTCCTTGATATAAATGAATTGGGAGAACCCAGACCAGGGCCTAGGGTCACAGTATCATCTGGCACTGATTCAGAAGTGTCCCTCCACAGAGGAGAATTCTTTTTTTTTTTTTTTTTTTTTTTTTTTTTTTTTTTTTTTTTTTTTTTTTTTTTTTTTTTGAGACGGAGTTTTGCCCTTGTTACCCAGGCTGGAGTGCAATGGCGCGATCCCGGCTCACCGCAACCTCCGCCTCCTGGGTTCAGGCAATTCTCCTGCCTCAGCCTCCTGAGTAGCTGGGATTACAGGCACGAACCACCATGCCCAGCTAATTTTTTGTAGTAGTAGAGGCGGGGTTTCACCATGTTGACCAGGATGGTCTCGATCTCTTGACCTCGTGATCCACCCACCTCGGCCTCCCAAAGTGCTGGGATTACAGGCTTGAGCCACCGCGCCCGGCCGGAGAATTCTTTAATCAAGAGTATCTGTAAGGCCAGGCGCAGTGGCTCCAGCCTATAATCCCAGCACTTTGGGAGGCCGAGGCGGGTGGATCATGAGGTCAAGATATCGAGACCATCTGGTCAACATGGTGAAACCCCGTCTCTACTAAAAATACAAAAATTAGCTAGGCATGGTGGGGCATGCCTGTAGTCCCAGCTACTCGGGAGGCTAAGGCAGGAGAATTGCTTGAACCCAGGAGGCGGAGGTTGTGGTGAGCCGAGATCACGCCATTGCACTCTAGCCTGGGTAACGAGCGAAACTCCATCTCAAAAAAAGAAGGAAAAAAAAAAAATATCTGTAGACGGCATGGTGGCTCATGCCTGTAATCCCAGCATTTACGGAGACTGAAGCAGGCAGATCATCTGAGGTCAGGAGTTAAGAGACCAGCCTGGCCAACATGGTGAAACCCCATCTTTACTAAAAATACAAAAATTAGCCATGCATTGTGGTAGCAGGCACCTGTAATCTCAGCTATTCAGGAGTCTGAGGCAGGAGAATCACTTGAACCTGGGAGGCGGAGGCTGTAGTGAGCCAAGATCGTGCCATTGCACTACAGCCTGGGTGATGAGTGAAACTCTGTCAAATAAAAAAAATAAATAGGGCCGGGCATAGTAGCTCACGCCTATAATCCCAGCACTTTGGGAGGCCGAAGTTGATGGATCACGAGGTCAGGAGATCGAGACCATCTTGACTAACACAGTAAGACCCTATCTCTACTAAAAATACAAAAAAATTAGCCAATGGGGCTGGGCGCTTTGGCTCACGCCTGTAATTCCAGCACTTTGAGAGGCTAAGGCGGGCGGATCATGAGGTCAAGAGATAAAGACCATCCTGACCAACATGGTGAAACCCCATCTCTACTAAAATACAAAATTAGCTGGACATGGTGGCGCATGCCTGTAGTCCCAGCTACTCGGGAGGCTGAGGCAAAATTGCTTGAACCTAGTAGGCGGAGGTTGCAGTGAGCTGAGATCACGCCACTGCACTCCAGCCTGGCGCCTGGTGACAATGCAAGACTCTGTCTCAAAAACAAACAAAAAAATTAGCCAATGACCACTCCACCTTCCCTGTACCCTGTGCCCAATCCCTGTCACCATCCCTGGCACCAGCCCCAGTTCCCAGACCTTGGGGGCCAATGTAGAAACATCAGGTAGTACTGCCAAATTAATCTTGAACTCAGCTAGAGATACAAAAGAATCAGAAACATATCGAAACCTTTACTAGAAATATAGAGAAAAAAAAAATAACGGTCTGGGAGGTTTCCCGTCCCTTCAGGATGGATGACAAACAGATGGAGCACCTAGGTCCAATGGGGCTACTCCCGATCTACAGTTTCTTCCTCCAGAAGCAAGGCGTCTAGCTCCTCCAGCCGCTGCTGCAACAGGGAGCCCACATCAGGGCTGGGGGCCACATTGGGAGGAACAGTCCTGCCCCCTGCAGCCCGGACCCCACGGGACGGCCGTCGAGATCGAGGAAGGCTGCTGTCTCGAAATTCCACAGCCCGACGGAGCTTCCTCGAGCTGGTGAAAATCAGAGTCCCATTGCGCTCCCGCGGTTCCTCGAAGATGGTCTCAAAGGTCCTGGACGAGGCAGGGAGAGGAGCTGGTTATCAGCATGCCCCACAGCTCCAGCTTCCCTCTGCCACCCTCAAGCCTTTCAAGTGTCTCACCTCTTGGTTGTGGGTGACTGGTAATTCTTGTTGGTATAGATTTCTTCCAAGCTGAACTCCTTCTTGTTCAACCTGTGAGCAAAGAGCAGAGGCTACTGAAAAGCCTTGAGCCAGTGGGGCCTGAAGGGACAGGTAAGTCCTGGTCTGTATTTCAGTTTCTGGGACATGTCAGGGCCAGGAGTGCTACATAAGGCAGACAGGCAATTCTGAGCACAAACCATGCCCACACTGAATTAAATTCTCCAGGCTGGACTGTGCTCCCTGAGAGGAGACAAAGTCATACTTCAGGGTACATGAGACTGCATCTGTTTGGCCAAGATGGCTCAATGCCCAGTGAGCCCCTCACCTGATTGGTCGAGGCAGTCCCATTGGTGTAAGGTTTAGCTGAGGGCGGGCTGGTGTTCTGCGTATTCTAAATCCAGAAACCTTCCCCATGGTCTGCAAAAATGGGCAGAAGGTGAAAGAGTGAAATGGGCTCAGTCCCCCTGTGGTCCCTTCCCCCCGATCTTCATGCCTACCTTGGTCTCAGGGTCTGAAAGCACCTGGTCCTTTGAGGCTCTTGGCTCCTTCCCTTTGGTTGAACCCAACCTGCCAAGAAGGTCAAGGCTCAGGGACAAACAAGATTCACTGCATTATCCCGGTCTCCTGCCCGCTGGATACTCAGGGAAGGAGGCTGGGCCCAGGCTGCAGCCAGGCTTCGAGAGGGGTTTTTTGAGAGCACTACCTGGGTTCTGCTGGTTCGGAGAAGGAGGAAGTGGATGCCGTGGACGAGCAAGATGTGGCGAGAGAAGGGGAGGCTCCCACTCCTCCGAGAGGGAAGACCTCTTTCCGGAGACAGGGCCGAGGGGGTGGCGGGGTTCGGGCCATTTCCCCACCACCCACAGTGTGCCGCCGTGGCCGTGGCTGGCTTGGTTGGGGTGGAGCAGGTGGCCAGGTGCAGGTACCAGAGCCAGGGGGCCCCAGATCAGGGCAGGAGTAGCTTCGGCCCAGAGAGGGCTTAGGGAGAGGTGCTGGGATATTGCGGTCCTGAGCCCGCCACTGGCGGATGGGGGGCCGGGGGCTGACAGAGGCAGTGCCCTCAGCAGCCCCAGACTGCTCGGCCTCTGAGATGGCGATCTTCAACTCCAGCTTCATGGGGGGGGACGGGGGCGGGGGCTGTGGGGTTTTGTTGGGCGTGAGGAAGATGTCAGCAAAGCTCTCCAGCTTGGAACGGACAGAACGGAAGAGTGGGGCCAAGCCCCAGGGACTGAGGCGGGGGCGTAAAAGGCTGGACGGTGGTGGGGTGGATGGGAGCTCCAGAGCAGGATCTGGGGCTGAGGAAAGGAGAGGGTCACAGGTGGGCATTCCTTGGCTGCAGTGTCTCAGCCCCTCCTCAGTAGCCTCAGCCCCTCCCCCCATGCTCAACTTTGTGTACAGAGGAATGAGCCCGCCCCTAAAACACTAAATTCTGCATTTAGGAATTGAAATTCAAGCCTCTGACATTGACACCCCACCTTCATATACCAAGCCCTGCACTGGGAGGGGTTAAGCCCCACCCCCACCTCTGCCTTGACACTTCCAAGATCAACTAGGATGTTTCAGACCCCCAAGTCTCATCCCATCTCTACCCGAGTTCCTTACCCGACGGTGGGTTCTCCGGAGAGTCTGCAGGCAGAGTAGATGGCTGGAATGGGGGTTCTAGGTCCCCGAGTGAAGGCATTGGCTGGTGAACTATCCTCATGGGCTCAGCTCTGGGGTAAAGGGCAAGGTAAAGGCTAGGGCAACTTCCAGGGATTCCATCTGAGCCAGCAACTCCTCTGCCCCTTAAGGCTTCTTCTGTTTTGTTTTGTTTTGTTTTGTTTTGTTTTTTTGAGATAGAGTCTTGCTCTGTGGCCCAGGCTGGAGGGCAGTGGCACCATCTTGACTCACTGCAGCCTCGAACTCCTGGGCTCAGGCAATCCTCCCACCTCAAGCCTTGCAAGTGGCTAGAACCAAAGGCATGGGCCACCACATCCAACTAATTTTTTTTTTTTTTCTTTTGCGACGGAGTTTTGCCCTTGTTACCCAGGCTGGAGTGCAATGGTTCGATCTCGGCTCACCGCAACCTCCGCCTCCTGGGTTCAAGCAATTCTCCTGACTCAGCCTCCCGAGTAGCTGGGACTACAGGCATGCGCCACCATGCCCAGCTAATTTTTGTATTTTTAGTAGAGACAGGGTTTCACCTTGTTGACCAGGATGGTCTCGATCTCTTGACTTTGTGATCCACCCGCCTCGGCCTCCCAAAGCACTGAGATTATAGGCGTGAGGAGCCACCGCGCCCGGCCCCAACTAATTTAAAACAATATTTTGGCTGGGTGTGGTGACTCATGCCTGTAATCCAAGCATTTTGGGAGCCCGAGGTGGGTGGATCACCTAATGACAGGAGTTCGAGACCAGCCTGACCAACATGGTGAAACCTCAACTCTACTAAAAATATAAAAATTAGCCAGGTGTGGTAGCAGACACCTGTAATCCCAGCTACTCAGGAGACTGTGGCAGGAGAATCACTTGAACCCAGGAGGCAGAAGTTGCAGTGACCGGGATGGCACCATTGCACTCCAGCCTGGGCAACAGAGCAAAAACTCCATCTCATAAACAAATTAAATAAATAGTAAAACGATGTTTTTGTAGAGACAGGGTCTTACTGTGTTGCCCAGGCTGGCCTCAACCTCCTGGGCTCAAGTAATTCTACTGCCTCGGCCTCCTAAAGTGCTAGCATTACAGGCGTGAGCGTGCCTGGCCCCTTAAGGCTTTTAAAAATGCCAAAATGGCCGGGCATGGTGGCTCACGACTGTAATCCCAGCACTTTGGGAGGCCGAGGCGGGTGGATCACGACCATCCTGGTTAACATGGTGAAACCCTGTCTCTACTAAAAATACAAAAAATTAGCTGGGCATGGTGGCACGTGCCTGTAATCCCAGCTACTCAGGAGGCTGAGGCAGGAGAATTGCCTGAACCCAGGAGGTGGAGGTTGCGGTGAGCTGAGATCAAGCCATTGTACTCCAGCCTGGGTAACAAGAGCAAAACTCTGTCTCAAAAAAAAAAAAAGACAAAAGAAAAATGCCTCAAAGAAGGACTGGATCAGTCATTCCCGATGCCCCTAGCTCTGGCTACCTGGATGATGGCTGTTGCCTGGATCCTTTGATAATCCCTTCTCCAGCCCTCTCACCTTTGTGCTGGGATGATGAAGTTGGGGGTCTCATCAATGAAGCCCTGGATAAAAATAGGGAATGTTTCTGGGGAGGCAGGGAAGCCTCCTTAGGACCCCACATCCTGACTCTTTCAGTCCCCAGATACCTGCTTGGGTTCAGGCCAAAGATGTCTGCTCAGGCAGTGTCTGCAACCTAAAATGTCATCCTCCTCAGTCTGAGAAAAATCCAACTGAGACTCAGGCCTCCCACCCTTATTCTATCCCTGCTGGAACCCAGCAGAACCCCTGACATTCGTACCCTCAGTTCCCATACCTCAGCTGGGGGTCTAGGACTGGCGATGTCTTCCAGCATCACCACCAGGGTGGGCTGGGGGGCCCGGTCCACCTTTTGTGAAGGGCCCTCCTCTGGGCCAGGGGTTGTCTTTGATCGCTGCCTCAGGGTGAAAGGGGTCTGGTGGACTCGGCTCAAGGGCTCGCGGCACAAATGCAGAGGGTCGGGAGGCCTAGTGAGGAAACAGGAAGATTAGAAGGGCTCAATTGGGTTCCTGGTTTACTCCCAACCTGCCATGCTCACTTGGCCTTCGAGGACCACATGGCCTGCCGGGGTGGCAAGGCAGGCGCCTGCCTGTGGACAGGATCCTGATGGTAGCTCTGGTGCCGTGGGATGGAGGTCTCCTTCGGGGGCACCACGGGGACCTGGGAGAGAAAGAGGTGTCAAGAGCAAGGTGATGGAATGAGGTAGGACTGGGTAAGGTCTCCCTGTGCCTAACAGTGCCCTGAGCCACAAACATGACAGAGATTAGGGCTAGAATTCACTCGGATCCCCAGAGAAGAGATGAATTGTACTGAATTAGGGGCCAGATATTAAGAGTCCTAAGCTGCAGGTGTGGGACCTGGGTAATCTCACCCACGCTGTTTAGAGAAATGAAAAAGACAGGGTGAGCTAGAGTGATCAGTGCCTTTTTTGGGCCTTGGTTTTTCTTATCTGTGCAGTGGAGTCAAAGGCCTCAGCCTGCTTCCTAAGGAGGCTGGGCTGAAAGCAGAAGAGTTTCGGCCCGGCGCCATGGCTCATGCCTGTAATCCCAGCACTTTGGGAGGCAGAGATGGGAAGATCTCTTGATGCCAGTTTGAGACCAGCTTGTGCAACATAGCAAGACCCTGTCTCTACAAAAAAAAGAAAGAAAGAAAGAAAAAAAAAAAGAAAGAAGAAAGCAGAAGAGTTTCTCAGAGTTGCAGGGATGTGGTTCCAGGCCAGAAAGGTTGGTGGGGGAAACAGACACTGCCCAATTCTAGGTTGGAGTGAGTGGGAGCCAAGCAGGACTCTAGCATGAGGGAGGTTGCCTGAGGAATGGGTACAAGAATGATGGATTTGGACTTCAGTTATCCTCAGTAGGGATCTGGCCCGAGTTTGGTAGTGAGGAAAGGCATGGGGGAATAGAGGGTCTCATGGTTCAGGGGGCTCACCATTTGAACAGCCATGACATCTTCCAGCACCACGGCCAGGACCCGCCGAGAGGCCTTTTCCAGGGGAGAAGGGGCTGCCGGGGGCTGCAGCCTCTGCCGTTTCGGGCTCGTGGCTCCCCATAATGCTCGAGTCAGAGGCTGGCGGCACAGACGCGGCTGGCCAGGCGGGCTGGAGGGTGAAAGAAGAAGAGGACGGTCGCCCGAACCTGTCGCTGGCTCTGTAGTTTCCCGGCACGGCCGCCAGGATCCCCATCTCCCAGGCTCAAGACAGGCGGGCGGGGTGCGCTCTCACCTGGAGTCCCCGGGCAAGTCCATGGGAGAAGCGGCGGCTCCGGGGGTTCCCTGGGGAATCCCAGGCTGAGGCCTGGGGCAAGGGGGGAGCGGTGGAGCGGGGGGTGAGGGCTAGCCCCTTCCCCGGGGCTCCGCCCTTCATGGTCCGCCCGAAGCTCCCCGTAGTCCAGCGACCGTAGCCCTGGGGCGCGAAAGGGCGCCCCCGGCCGGCCGCCCGGAGTGGGTGTCCTCCAGCGCCACCGCCTCGATCAGCGGATCACTCGCGCCCTGCCCGGCACCTGCTGCCAGAACCCGGACTGCAGCGGCCCCAGTTCTCCCACGGTCCCAGCCTCTCGAAGCCTTTGTCCCTGCAAATTATGCCCCGAAATCCCCCGGGATCTACGGGGATCCCGGTCCTGGGAGGCTATTTCCGCTGGATCCCTCTGCGATCCTCGTCCACTCCTAGCGAGTGGCTGAGGACTCCAAAGCAATACTCCACACATCGACGACCCTCCCTCCCACCAGATCCCCTAGACTGGATCCCTGCGGAAAGAATCCTACAGCGCGGTTCCGCCAATCAGACGCCGGGCGGGGCTTCTGCTTCCCCTGTGAGCTTCGGCGCCGCAAAGCTCCGCTCAGACAGGGGCGGCCCGAGATGGAGCATTTCTGAACTCAGCCTAGATCCCCAGGGATCCACTGTCAAGCAGATACCCCCTTCACTCCAATCCCGGGAGGTCCCGCCCACAGACGCCCCCTCCCTCCTCGCGTCCCCGCCCAGCGGTCTCCCCCGGCCCGGGAACAGAAGGTTCAGATGTTTCCTTCCCCGCCCCCGACTCCCGCCCTCTACAGCCACTCCTTGCCCTCCCGCAAGCGCCGCTCACCGCTGCCTCCCGTGGATCCCGGGTCTTCCGCAGCTCCCACCTCCGGCTCCTTTAAAACCAGGCCTACCCAAGGCTGCCCAACCGCTGAGGGCTTTCTTGGGGCCTCCGGGCACCGCCCAATCGCCGGTCCCCGTCTTCCGGGGTGGTGAGAAACTAAGTGAAGCCACCTGGCGGCCATTACCCCTAGGGGCAGGAAGCCAAATTGGGCGGCGCCGCCATGATGGTTGAGGGCAGATGTCTTAGTCCTCGTTGAACCGTGGTGGACCGGGTGGCGTCATCTTTTGAGGGCCACATACAATGCCAGGTTTCTTGAAATGTTGAGGCAACCGATTGAAGCTAGAGTGCCGCCACGTTCTTTAAGGGCATCTTCCGGTTCTTTAGTTCTTAAGCCAATAAACGTTAACTGAGTGATAACGATATGTGAAATTCCCAATTTCCTAGAGTGGCCTCGTTTGGGGAAGGTTCCGGCACACCTTTCTGGGTTGCTCAATGGGGTTCCCACGGCCCAGCGTCCGAGTTTAGGAGGCGGTGGTGGAGGCCCTGAGTCTGAACACCCGGGGTCAAAGGCTCGGGCTGATGCGGCCTGTGGCTCCCTTGCTGGCGCCTTGTCTTGGAGAGATGGGGCCGAGCCTAAGTGGGGAGGAGGCTGGGGGCGCTGAGTTTGACTTCGCCTGAGTGTTGTCTACCGTACTTCTCGGAGGAGTGGGGATGCCCGCGGGCCGCGCACAGGGCTCAGGACAGGGGCGTCCTTGCAGGAGACCAAGAATACACCTTGGCTTGCTCGTGGGGCCCAGCTCTCAGGAACCACTCTTAAGAGGGGCCTGCCTGATGGGGGAGGTGTAAATAGTCCTGAGGAGTAAGGGATCAGGGTGGGACGCTGCTGCTTGGAGGGGCTGCGTCGTGGACCTTTACCTGGAGCTGGGATATTGGTGTGGAGGAAGTGTGCATGTAGTGGCTTCTTGCAGAGCTATGACGGTGCCCAGACCGCCTAACCAAAGCCCGTGCCTGCACTAGTTCGCCTTCCCCATATTCCCTGGTCCAAACCAGTCCTTTCTTTTTTAATTTTAATTTTTTTTTTTTTTAATCTGAGGCAGGGTTTCGCTATGTTGCCCAGGCTGATCTAGAACACCTGGGCTCAAGCGGTCCTCCTGCCTCGGTCTCCCAAAGCGCTGGGATTACAGGCGTGAGCGCCCAGCCCCAGTCCTCATTTTCTTTTCTTAACAGAACAAGAAACCCTGAAGCATAGAATCCTGGGTCCGACATAAGGTGCAGAGGCGCCTCCTGGTCCAGGTGTCATAATTCTTTCTCAGGGGATTGGGTGATGAAAGTAATAAAACAGGGCCCAGTGTGGTGGCTCACACCTGTTATCCCAGCACTTTGGGAGGCAGAGGAAAGCGGATCACTTGAGACCAGAAGTTCAAGAGCAGCCAGGCCAACATGGCAAGACCCCATCTCTGCAAAAAATTAGCCAAGCATGGTGGCGCATGCCTGTAGTCCTGGCTACTCAGGAGGCTGAGGTGGGTGGCTCTCTTGAGTTTGGGAGGTCACAGCTGCAATGAGCTGTGATCTTGCTACTGAACTCTAGCCTGGGCAACAGAGACCCTGTCTCAAACAAACAGGGGATGATGTGGAAAGAGCATAATCGGGAAGAGCTTCTGTGGGAAATGGAGGCTCCCCAGGTCCGTCCCTAAGGACTCATCCAGAGAGACGCTCTTCTAGAACTACAGTATCTCTGTAACAGGAGGTCCGCTGGGTCCTCTGGAAATCCATTCAGACTTCCAGTGGGAGCAGGCGGTGGTTCTTCCACCTAGTGGTGTTCACTCTCTCTCTGGTTCAGGGCTGACTGTAATGGTGCCTGAGGAGGTACAGCGATGTTTCACCCAGCTGTGAGTGCTTGGAGAGTCTTCCAACCTTGCCGAATGAAGAGTGAAACCGGCTCACACCTATAATCCCAGGATTTTGGGAGTCCGAGGCGGGTGGATCACGAGGTCAAGAGATCGAGACCATCCTGGTCAACATGGTGAAACCCCATCTCTACTAAAAATACAAAAATTAGCTGGGCATGGTGGCGCACGCCTGTAGTCCCAGCTACTCAGGAGGCTGAGGCAGGAGAATTGCCTGAATCCAGGAGGCGGAGGTTGCCGTGAGCCGAGATCTCACCATTGCACTCCAGCCTGGGTAACAAGAGCGAAACTCCGTCTCAAAAAAAAAAAGAAAAGAAAAGAAAAAAGAGCGAAACCCCACAAAAACCTTCAAAATCAGAGCAGGCCTAACCTGAGTTTTTGGGTTTTTTGTTTATTTTTTGTTTTTGAGACAGTCTATCACCCAGGCTGAATTGCAGTGGCACAATCTCAGCTCACTGCAACCTCCGCCTCCTGGGTTCAAGCGATTCTCATGTCTCAGCCTCCCAAGTATCTGGGACTAGAGGTGCTCATCACCACGACCGGCTAATTTTTTGTATTTTTAGTAGAAATGGGGTTTCACCGTGTTGGTTAGGCTGATCTTGAACTCCTGGCCTCAAGTGATCTACCCGCCTTGGCCTCCCTAAGTGCTGGGATTACAGGCATGAGCCACCACACCTGGCCCTAATCTGAGTTTTAATTCTCTAGGTCTCTTGAAGTCAGTGACACCAAGGGCAAAAGATGTAGTCCGAAGAAAAGTCCTGGACCTGAGTATTTGGTAGGAGGGGCCCACCCGTGCGACCCTAACTTGAGGTGCTAGAGTTCATCAAATGGAAGTCTAAGGTAGACAGTGGCAGTCTTGGCCCTTAGCCCAGGCCAGCAAATGTGCGCCCTTGTGGTCTCACAGTCTCAGCTCTGCTTTTTTTGTGACTTCCCATTTCAACAACTTCAACTTTGCCCACTGCCTATGAAGGTGGTGGACACACCACAGAGCATGCCCCAGTGTGTGCCAATGGTAGCAAGAGGTCCCACACAGCCTCCAGTGGGGCTGGTGGTGTGGCTGGTGGTGCACTTCAGTGTGTCATTATTCAGAAACTCAGGGTCTGTTTAGACGAGGGGCGGCCCATACTTCTTTTTTCTTAGGGTCTTACTCTGTCACCCAGGCTAAAGTGCAGTGGTACGATCATGGCTCACTGCAGTCTTGACCTCCTGGGCTCAAGTGATCCTCCCACCTCAGCCTCCTGAGTAGCTGGGATCACAAGTATGCACTGCCACACTTAGCTAATTTTTAAATTTAAATTAAAAAAAATTTTTTTTGAGATAGTCTTGCTCTGTCACCAGGCTAGCATGCAATGGCGCAATCTCGGCTCACTGCAACCTCCATCTCCCAGGTTCAAGTGATTCTCCTGCCTCAGCCTCCTGAGTAGCTGGGACTACAGGCATGCACCACCATGCCCAGCTAATTTTTCTATTCTTAGTAGAGATGAGGTTTTACCATGTTGGCCAGGATGGTCTCGATCTCATGACCTCATGATCCGCCCACTCTGGCCTCCCAAAGTGCTGAGATTACAGGCATGAGCCACTGTGCCTGGCCTATTTTTATTTATTTGAGATGGAGTCTCGCTCTGTCACCCAGGCTGGAGTGCAGTGGCATGATCTTGGCTCACTGCAACCTCCACCTCTTGGGTTCAAGCCATTCTCCTGCCTCAGCCTCCCGAGTAGCTGGGACTACAGGTGCAGGCCACCACGCCCAGCTAATTTTTGTATTTTTAGTAGAAACTGGGTTTCGCTGTGTTGACCAGCCTGGTCTCAAACTCCTGACGTCAGGTGACCTGCCTGCCTTGGCCTCCCAATGTGCTGGAATTATAGGCATGAGCCACCATGCCTGGCCAATGTTATAATTTAAAAAAATTTTTAGTATAGACAAGGTCTTGTTATGTTGCCCAGGCTGGTCTCAAACTCCTGGGCTCAAGAAATCCTCCTGGCTCAGCCTCCCAAAGTGCTGGGATCACAGGTGTGTGCCACCATGCCTGCCCCCCTAAGAGTTTAGAGTTTATATCACTGCATTTATAGTCCTGTGTGCAAGATTATCGCTGGGTCTGCTGCTTTTCTCAGCTTCAGTCCCTCTGCACCCTGAAGTACTTGGTTCAGCCATTTCAGCACATTCCTGCCCAGTTTAACTCTCCTGTTGGGGAGCTTTCAAGACTTCCCCAGGGGGTCTTCTACTTTGGCCAGCTACTTCAGGTTGCTAATTTTTTTTTTTTTTTTTTTGG